AACAAAGGTCCATCTAGTCAAGGCTATGGTTTTTCCAGTAGTCATGTATGGATGTGAGAGTTGGACTATAATGAGAGCTGAGTGCCAAAGAATTAATGCTTTTGAAGAAAGACTGTTGGAGAAGACTCTTGAGAGTCCCTTGGACTGCAAGGAGATCCAACCAGTCCATCCTAACGGAGATCAGTCCTGGGTGTTCACTGGAAGGACTGATGATGAAGCTGAAACTCCAATATTTTGACCACCTGATTTGAAGAGTTGACTCATTGGAAAAGACCCTGATGCTGGGAGGGACTGGCGGCAGGAGAAGGGGACGACAGAGGATGAGATGGCTGGATGGCATCACTGACTCGATGGACATGAGTTTGAGTCAACTCCGGGAGTTGGTGATGCACAGGGAGGCCTGGCGTTCTGCGATTCATGGGGTCGCAAAGAGTCGGACACGACTGAGCTACTGAACTGAACTGATGTGGTGAAGGATAGAGTCAGTGAAGGGAGTAAAGGTTGGAATCATTCAGTGCAAGCTTTCCACGTTTCCCTCCACACCTTATGACCCGTGAAGACCCAGAGTGGTACTCGGTAGAATAATCGGGAATAGTTGATACCTTTCCACTCCTCTCCTCTGCTTTATAACCCCAGGTCATCACAGAAACACTTGAGCATGTTCCCTGTTTTCTAAGAAGGAGGGGAAATGTGAAGAGTAAGTGGGGAAAGTTAAGAAAGATGCTGTCAAGTGTTACTAAAAAGTGCTCTGATGTGGGAAACCTGGGATATTTCTTGGAGGGAGAACTCGTGGCCTCCACGAAGAACCCTCTCCACTTGTACAGCTGGGAGCCCACGAGGGACTGGGAGGAGCCCGCGAGTGTGTGGGAGGAGCCGGCGGGGAGTGGGAGGGGTCTGCGGGGGAGTGGGAGGAGCCGGCGGGGAGTGGGAGGGGTCTGCGGGGGAGTGGGAGGAGCTGGGGAGGGAGTGGGAGGGGCCGGCGGGGAGTGGGAGGAGCCGGCTGGGGCATCCTCTGGTGGCCCTGGGATTGCTGACCCCGTCAGGGCCCTGGGGTTGCTGACCCCGTCAGTGCCCTGGGCAGAGCTGTCGCTGGAACCGCACGTGTTGCGGGGACCTCAGGAATCTGGCTTTTCCCTTCGGAAAGCTTGATGAATAGACCCCGTGGATGCTCCCTGGGGCCGTGGCACCAGAGTGGAGGGCACAGTCTCCTCTCTGAGGCAGGATCAGCAGAAAAGAAACCGAAACCCTAAAAGCAACGACAAAAGCAACATGCCTGAGTCACACACCCCTTTGCCTTTTTCTGCTTTTGTTTGCTGCTAATACAGAGAACATTATTAAGTCAGGAGTGGGGAGGTTGCAGTCCTGTGACTGGTGTGTGTTCCTTGTGCATGAAACATTCAGTTCCTTGGTGTCTAGTATATAATTTTGTTTCTCTCTTTATTCGCTTTTTAGGCAGAGGAATCTTGTAAATGCAATGGCTGGAAAAACCCCAATCCTTCGCCCACTCCCCCCAGAGCCGACCTGCAGCAGATCATCGTCAGCCTGACGGAGTCCTGCCGGAGCTGCAGCCACGCCCTCGGTGAGTCCCGCTCCTTGGGGACCAGCTGTGTCCCCTGAGACTGCCTGCTGGCCTCGGCGGGTTAGCCAGGCTTGTACACCTCGCCCCTGAGGAGGCCGCAAGCATGATCCCGTAACCTTCTGGTTCTGCTGGGAGGCTTCCTGTGGGAGGAGAATCCTGCCCTGTCTGCATGCGTTCTTTTTTTACTTGAATTATCAGCTGTGCCGGGTCTTCGCTGCGGTTCAGGCTTTTCTGGAGCTGTGGCGAGCTGAGCCTGCTCTCTAACCGCAGTGTGAGGGCTTCGCATCTGGTGGCTCGTCTGTACGGGGCTTCAGCTGTTGGGCTCAGGAGTTGTGACACTCGGGCTTAGTTCATCTGGCGCATCGGATCTTCTGGGATCAGGGGTGGGACCGTGTGTCCTGCGGGCGGATTCTTCGCATTCTCCACAGCCGCTCTCACTGTCTCTGCTCACTTTCCCCCAAGAGCTGGGCTGACCGCTGACTGGGGGCAGGCATCAGGATTGCCAAATAGGAGGAAACGTGGCCGCTGAACTAGTTAGAATAATAGGTAGCATGTCCTGATCCACTCTGATTGTTAATTTTTTATTCTCTTCTGAGTCCCTGAATTTTCTGGGAGTGCTTCATTTTATCTTCATATTCTTTAGTTTCCTGGGTCTGCTATCTCTTTTCTTCCTTGGAATTGTGTTTGGTAAATATTTACTTGTCTTTTCCCTTTCATCATTCTTATCTGTCCCTGCAAGAAAATCACTGTCAGCCTAGCCAACCTCTGCCTGAGTTAGTTACCAGGACTGTGCTAATATATTCTATGTCCTGATACTAGTTTTAGGACAAACATTTTCTTTTTAAATTATATTCTGTCTGAGTGGATAAAAGTTACTGAGTAACTAGTTTTCCCTAGATACTCAAATTCCAAGGGATCTTGGACTGTTCGTACTTTTCTGCCTTCAGTCATCCGGTCTCCCAGAGAACGGCTCAGTGTGGAGTTTGCTGTCCAGTGTCACAAGGGTGCGGCCCCGGCCACACATCCTAATGTATTTTGTCTTTCCCACCTGCCCCCTTGTGAGGGGTGGGTGCTTTCAGCCATTGTCTTTCTCTCAAGCTTCCTGCTCATCTCAGATGGAGCATCAGCCTTGTTAGCTAGCAGTTAGGTCTAGTTTGAAGTGTGATTTTGTATTCAGCTAGAGAGGGCTCAGTCTGTATAGAACAAAGTAGGAAAGAGTGCGATCTCCTCAGGAAGTTAGCACACCGGAGTGACCTGAGAACAGGAACTAGAGAACCTCAGACTCATGGGGGAAATAAACACACTGGCAGTCGTATCACTGTGTTGATTTAACTGGTGTCTCTTCTGGCTTTTGAAGCAGCCAGTGCAAAGAAAAGAGGCCAAGAGTCGCAGGAACGTCTTTGCTTGTAACTCACCTTTTCCACAGTCATCCCTGAGCAAAGCCCTTTAGAAGTGCCTCGGGGAATGTGACGCAATAGAACTCAAACACTGGACTTGAACTGTACTTGGTATTGATTGGGAAATCCTATTATCTTTCACCAATTAACGTTTAAAAACAGAATCTTCTTTCTGATTTAGCTGCGCAGACTGTCTCCTTTCCGAGCACACAGGAATGCCCACAGCCTTTCTCAGAGAAAAGCTGACGTTGTTCCTTTTGCATTTAACAGGCTGTGAGGACAGTACCCTGCTATACCACACGTACTGGGAATGGGAAAGGGCGTGCATCCTTTAACCTGACAAACCCAGGCCGGAAAGTTAACCCAACTGTAAATCGGATGCACCTTTAGATTAAAAGGGCAGCTATTAGAGCCATATTCATGATACTGAAAAACTAAAACAACCTAAATATCCCAGTGGAAGAGGGTCTTGGTTGAATTATGAAATTCATTGTGGCTGTTAACAAAAGGTGTATTTTCCAACATGCAAAGACATTGTTAACATATTGTTAATGAGAAAAGCAGGCCAGAAAGCAGCTTAATTGAAGGTTTTATGATTTTGGATAAAATGGCAAGATCCACCAGCCGAAGTTCAAATCCCAGCTCAACAACCAGTAGCGGTAAGCTGGGCCATACTATTTAATCTGCCTGGATCTCCAGGTTTGCAGTTCTGAAATGGAGTCAGTGGTAGTATTTACCTCATGGGAGTGTTTGAGGAATAAATGAATTAACTCCAATCAAAATTTTAGCACAGTACCTGGTGGAAAATTCGTTATTACTCTTATCGGAGTTCTTTACTTCAAACAACGGATGGGAACTCTATCCAGCTTAAATGAGAAAACCGTGTTTGTAAGAAGGGTACTGGTTGTTTTCACAAGCTGGAGACAGAAATGCAGAGTCAGTCAGGTTCTGGGATCCCACCTGTAGGAATTCAAGGTCCTCTGTCCAGGACCCTGGATGATTGAGGTCTACTAGCCAGAGAAGACTCTTGAGAGTCCCTTGGACTGCAGGGAGATCACACCAGTCAAGTCTAAAGGAAATCAGCTCTAAATATTCATTGGGAGGACTGATGCTGATGCTTCAGTGGTTTGGCCACCCTATGCAAATAGCCGACTCATCGGGAAAGACCCTGATGCTGGGAAAGACTGGAGGCCAAAGGAGAGGGCCAGCAGAGGATGAGATGGTTGGATGGCATCACCGACTTGATGGACAGGAATCTGAGTGAACTCCGGGAGGTAGTGGAGGGCGGGAGCTGGGTGTGCTGCAGTCCCCGGGGTCACAGAGAGTGCGACACACTCAGGGACCGAACTGCAGCCGCTGCCCCGCCCTGGTTGGGGAGTTAAATCTTCAGAGGGGGGGCTGTGTCACACCTCTCTGTCACTTGCCCAGCCCAGAGTTTGACCCTCCCGCTGAGAACCGCCTGGAAGGCGGCCCTTCCCGAGGCAGGCCCGCTCCTGGAGAGCAGCCCCGCTATCACCTCACTTCATCAGGCTGGAGGCCATGATACACGTTTCAGGAAACAGACCGGGATGGTCTGGAGGGTGTATGTTGAGATGCTGCTGTCAGTGATTTTCTCAGGACGTTGGGGTTGTAGGCATTTTAAAAATATTTTCCCTCTTTCCTTCCTTCTGCTCTCCATTCGGTCGCTTCCTTAAAATGGAAACGTCTGCATATTTTCAAGTGCTCGTGGAATTGTCACCAGAATGCTGGAGTCTGTTTATTTGTCCTGGTGTCAGGATTCTGACACTAGGAAACTTCCTCTTTTAGAAGCAAGACTATGCCCCCCTCCCTCTTCCCTCCTTTAAAAAAAACCGAAACTTTTTATTGTGGAAACTTTCATGTTACAGAAAGGAAGGAAGAATCATTTAATATAATAAATAGCCTTGTATCCATCACCCAGCTTTACAGTGATTAACATATGACAGTTTCCCTCTCTCTCCTATTTTGGGCCAGAGTATCCTTTTAAGCAAGACATCTTTTCTTATTCCTGCAGACGGCTTCTTTTTCTTGATGATTTCTGTGCTTTGGCGGTGCCGGGTCTTCGTCGCTGTGCTGTGCTGAGCGGGGCTGCCCTGCAGAGCCTGGGCTTGCCATTTTGGAGCCGCTCCTGATGCAGAGCACGCTCCAGGCTCGTGGGCTGCAGTGGTTGCTGCAGCGTGTAGGGTCTTCCCGGGCCAGGGATCGAACCCGTGTCCCCTGCATTGGCAGGCGGGTTTCTGTCCAGTGTACCACCAGGGAAGCCCCTGATTACTTCATAAATATTACCAACAGTGAGGAGGGTCAGGGTGTAGGAAATTCTGTCCAGTGTCATGTGAGCTTGAATTCTCAAAAACCCTTCCCTCTGTCTGCACCGTGCTATTTTCACAGTCACTGTTCTGAGCCTGGGGAGTTTGGACCCTACAATACCTGTGATGTTCTCAGACTTGTCAAAACAAAGCATCCAGGCTTAGCGATTGAGATGGGGTCTGCTCTGTTGATTTGCTCTTGGGTGTCCTTTGGTTCAGCCAGACACGGTCTTTTGACAGTGAGCTCTGGTTTCACACGGTCTTGACAGTGACTTGCATCCCGGGTGTCCTTGGCCTGCCTTAATTTGATACTCTCTGTGTCAAATCGCAGGGCTGACCGTCTGATTAAATAGAACAAATGTTTGGTCGGGAGTTAGAAGCAACTCTAGGCCTGGCTCGCAGTTTACCCGTCCCCTAACCGCTTTGCTCTTTAGAATCTTCACCACAGAATGGAACTGTCTCGGTCTTTGCTAATATTATAGCCACGTGCTACATTTGGCTAATGAACACTTGAATTGTAGCTGCTCCAAATTGAGATGAACTGTAGGTGTGAAATCCAGGCCAAATGTTGAAGGTTTTATATGAAAAAAGTAAGATATCTCATTAATTTTGATTACATGCTGAGATGATATTTTGGATATATTGGGTTAATAAAATAAATCAATATTCTTCAAATTAATCTCACCTGTTTATTTTTCCTTTAATATTGCTATTGGAAAACTTAAAATCATGTGTGCCTAGCATTATATTTCTATTGGATAGCGTAGGCCTAGAACATTCTTCTCCATTCTCTGAAATTATTTGATATTTGGGATTATAATTACATCCAAAGTTTGACAAAGGGTCCTAGCCTAGAGCTCTTCAGTTGGCCCAAGCCCACCTCCTTACTTTAGTATTAAGCAGGATTTCTTATTTTGGGACTGCTTGTTTCAGCGGCAGCCTCCTTCTTATGACCAGGACAGGAGGAGATACCCATTGTGATCACAACAAAACTGGGACTTTTGTTGTCATTTTGGCGTCCATTGTTCTGAACTGTGCAGAGACATACTGCTTATTAAATTTGAGTAGTGATAATGTTTTGCACTTTTATGGAGATTTCTTATTGTTGTGATTTTTAAATGTATTTGTCTTTGGCTGAGCTGAGTCTTCCTCGCTGTGTGGGCCTTTCTCCAGTTCCTGAGCGGGGGCTCCTCTCCAGCTGTGACCTGCGGGCCTCGCACCGGGGTGGTGTCTCCTGTTTCCGAGCGCCGTCTCCAGGGCAGGGCTCAATAGTTGCAGC